AGAGAATAAATCGATATCTTATCAAAAGTTCCATAAAACAATAATTTCAGATATGTAAGATTTGTATTTATAATTGTACTTGTTATTAATTCAGGATAATCATAATGAAATCGAAGAGTGGCACAACGAAGTGATAATGGTGTGTTTAACAAAACCATTTTACTGAACAGATGTGCATGATTTCTGCTCAAGTGATCATTTTTAGCATCGTAGGATTGCAATATATGAAGCGATACAAGTTGAGTTTGTTTCTTTAATTGTTTGATGACATTTTCCAGTTTAGATGATGCATCAAGGCACCGAAATGTGCACGAACGAAGACTAGAAAATTCATATCGGTCAAAAAGGTACGCAATAATATTTATGTGACCACAGATTTTATCACATATATCCAACGAACTAACTTGATGAGAATGAAATATCAGATGATGAGACAGAAATTCAATTTGATAGCGATAATACATCGAATCGACAATTATATGAAGACGAATATATTTTAGAATAGTTGAAATACGTTCATTAAGAGAAGTAAATGTTAAGAATACATCGAATGCATTTAAATAATCAAAGATTTCACATAATACTTCATTCGATAAATCTTCAAATAAAGTTGGATTCTTCATTTTCATTGACTGACAAATTGAACTAAGAATGTATACATACAATATACATGATGAATATAGTATATAAAAGTATAATGAATTAATATAACCAATAGATGAAGCAGTCATTGTCTATGTGACCGATATTGACCATTGATTGATTCATTCCATAACATTTTGGACGATTGAACTCAATGAAGAAAAAACATAGTATGAGGAAGAAAAATATGTCGAAAATAAAAATATCGAAAACAATATAATAATAGAAATGTTGATGGATAGAAATGATGAAAACAAGAGTATATTCAAGTACAAGTTTCTCTCACCTTCATCTTCATCTCATATTTTTGTTTTTCGATATTTCGTTTTTTGACAGTTTTTCCTTTCTGCTTTTTGTCATCCACTCGAAAAAAAAATAGAGTGAACGTTTTTCTTATGATGCTCTGTTTATTAGGCAAAGCGAATTGGCAAGAACAGATGTTTGTTTTCTTTGTGATCTAATGTCTTTTATTGTCGGTTTCTCTGTGAAATCATTTTTTTATTATGCTCAAAGTTGTCAGTCTACATTTGTTTATTATTATGATGATTAGTTATAGAAAGATCTCTTGCATGTAATAGCGATAGAATATGATTGAAAGATAAAAAATGTTTGTTATTCTTCGTTAGTCACTTTTTTTATCGATTATATTGTTGCAATAGAAGTAATCTATGCTTATCGGTTGCTGCGTAGAATAGCGTATCACTTACAACTTTGTCATAAATTCATTCCTCATTTCTATCGAATAATTAGTATACATAATTGTTCTAATGGTGTTGTTTTTCGTGGTTTTAAAATTCTACTATGTTTCGTTGAAGAACATCTTTTATTCGAATTTATTCATTTACATAAACATTGTCATTTTTACTAACGGAATATTACTTAACTTCAAATCTTTTTTTTCTAAATAGTGTGAATGATACTTTTGCTGATAATGTGTAGCCAATTTTGTAGTTTTTTTTTGGTAGTGAAAAAGATGCGAACAATTGATAAAAATGATGTCCCAGAAATTCTGAAGTAGTTGTAAAATACATTGTTCTACCATTCAACAAAAGCAAGGTCTTTGAAATTTTGGCAGATTATCCAAGATACTTAGTACAACATTACTACACAGTTTCAGGTTGATAAAGATATGTGGTGAGTGTGAATCTGAGTAGGATACAACCATATCTTCAAGATTCGATATTTATTAAAGTTAATTTTGATTATAAACAGAGTAAAACATGAATAAAATCTGTATTGTCTTGATTTCAGCCACAGACCAAACCAATTATTAGGTCGACAATGTGAATGAAGACAAAATCTTTGGCCACCGTTCAATGAATGAGCAAATAAATTAGTTTTTTCGTTTCTACAAATAAATAAGATGTTATAGATTGTTACTTTAAATTCCTATGTTTAAGAATAGTTGATCGAAGACTTTTTGTAGTTCACTGTAAGTTTTGACATTAGATGATTAAAAAAAAAATCAATAAAAAATATCAAAACATATTTGTTTAATTTTTACGGTAAAAAAAAATCAGCTCTGTATGATAGATAACTCTCTAGTTCATATTTTAATTTATCTTCCAAAACTCATTTTGAAGTGCATCTTGAGGGTGTGAGTGTGGTTATAGAAAGAACTCAGATCTTCAACGTTTGTTCATAGTTCATTACATGCTTCATCGGTTGCATTCTCTGCTTTAACTTGTGATTTTTGGATACATCTGTTAGATTTTTGTTTGATAATATTTTATTCTAGATCATTAGTATTAGATCAAGACTCTATAACTTGGTTATTAATATAATTCAGTATTAAGTGCTTAACTAGAGTATACGACTAAAGTAGTTTGGAATCAGCTATGAACAAATAGCATTCAACAATGTATTAAAAAGACTCCAACAGTATATCAACATTATGTATCTTTGTATGATTAGATTGTTATTTGTATGATAAAACATCTATCCTTCTACTCTTCCTATAAATCTACGAAAACTTATTCTGACTGTAAATTCAAAAGAAAAATACGATATGTGACACTCATTTATCATTTGTAGCAGAGCCCCAACCAGGCCACTAGGCCTGCCTGCCTGCCTGCCTGTCACAGGCACAGGCCACGATTTTTAGGCCTGGCCTGCCTGTGACAGGCCAGGCCGACCCCTTCGACAGGCCAGGCAGGCCGCCTAAAAATGCCAGGCCGCCTGGCCTGTCTAATTTTTCTTCGATATAAAACTTTTACCGCATAATTGGGATTTATTGCTAGAAAAAAATTCAGTTGAGTCAGTTTTCAAGAATGATATTTGAATATAAAGAATTTGACCAATACTTGAGAATAAATATTGACGATATATATAAATGATCAAATCTATTACTAATATGAAAAGGTTATTACCATAATGAAGAGGTTCAATAAGTAATGGAACCTCTACCCCTCGAAAAATTTGTTTTTTCCTACCCAAAATTAATTGAGAAGGGTTTCGAAAGTGATCTCTGGTAGAATTAGGTCTGTTACTCCTCTTTGAGCTACACTCAGGTCGTTTGAAACAATCAATTAGTGTATTATATCCCATTGTCGATGATAATTAGATGTATTTAGCCATCAATATGATAGTCGGCTATATTGATTTTCATATAGTTTGATAGAAATATTTAAGTGTTCTGAAATGCTAGTAACACGTTAAAAGAAAGGAACTAACCATTAAAAAACGTCCAAGAAAAACTTTTCAGCGGACTTTATTTTAAGTACATTTCTTGACTGATATTTCGCTAGTTTTGATTAGAGGAAGTAAAGTCTGGATAAAAACTAAAATCATCTATATAGACCGGCATTTAGTATTAAGTTGACTTATGTGAATTTGGAATCTGTTTATGAACTTTTTTCGTAGAAAATCACTCTAGTCCTGCTCAGAATCAAGTCGAAAAATGAGTATCGACAAAAAAGTGTATCAGTAGTTTAAGCAGACGCCATGTTGTGCTATAGTGTTATTGTGCAGCTGTAGAAATTTTTTCTCGTACTGAAACAACTTTTCGATGTGATTCTCTTTTTAACTTAACTCTGGGAATCTGTGATGATCTGTTCCACGAAAAAAATCAATGAAAATATTGAAAAGTCACAAAAGTCGTCTCAGCGTTAAATACTAATTCATAACATGACCTTAGCTTTGATCCAAATTATACTTCTTCTGATTATAATCTACGAATATATCAATTAAAGACATTCACAATTATGTCTGGGGACAAGTTTTCATTGGACATTTTTCAGTAGTCAGTTTGCTTTTTTTCGATATGTTGTTGGCATTTTAGAGTTCTTAAAAGCTTTTATCAAACTACACGAAAATTAGGCGAATTGACTATCATAATGATGGTTAAATCGACCTGATTATCATCAATAGTCGGATATAATATACTTATTCATTATTTTAAGTGACCCAAGACAATGTAAATAATCGCCATAGAGCCAATTTCACCGCCCATCACTTTCGAAACACTTGTGAAATGGTTTTACGTAGAAAAAACCAAATATTTCGAGCGAATCAGTTTTATTATTGGATGATTCGTCTTTTCTATTTGTCACTATTTGCTCCAGAAAATGTTTGAGTCTCAGCTAGTTCAGCTGAAGCTGAACGTTTTCTTTGTATTAAATTTGGTAGCTACTGCACGTAGTCCTTCTCTCGATTGTGGTACTATGAATGACATTTTTGTCTGCCAGATCCATCCAAAATATTCTCGAACAAGAACAAGATTGTTTTCCTGAATATTGGTATCGTTTTATTTCTTTAGTTTTCTAGATACCAATGCTTTTCAATTCATATTAAACGTAGAGAAAAAATCCATACTGTCAACATCTTTATAATGTGCGCACCTCCCTATAGTGAACAGTTTTAGTTGGCTTTGAGTAGTTTCTGCTCGAAATCGGTGACTTCCTAATGAAAGCCTCCTTATAATGATATATAAATGTTTGTTTTCTGACTTTGACCTACTACAAAAAAAAGTGCCTGACGATAGCGATTTTCGTTCGACTTCTGTTCTCATATACTCTGATGTATATATCAGAAGGGAACATCTCTGTATAATGAACACTGAAATACACCCATATTCAAAAGGTTCCCGGACTGTTTTTATTTCATAAAAATGAAATGAACTACACTCATGAGTTTATATTTTGGGTGTGAGGTGTGGGTGTAGGTGTGAGTGTAGATGTAAGTCTGGTATTCTTTTAGACTTACACCTACACCCACACCTCACACCCAAAATATAAACTCATGAGTGTAGTTCATTTCATTTTTATGAAATAAAAACAGTCCGGGAACTTTTTGAACATGGGTGTATTTTATTGAATGTTCACATCAGGAAACTTTTATTTGTATCATCTAAATTGATTCTATTGACTTGTTGAACTTTCTACAATGATTAATGCTAAATTATATCTTATTATTACTATGATATTTGATTTAAAAAAAGTAGACAGGCCTTGCCAGGCAGGCCAGGCAGGCCGAGCGAAACGACAGGCAGGCAGGCCAGGCCGAAGAAAAAGATGACAGGCACAGGCAGGCCGGGATGGATGTAGGCCTGTCATAGGCAGGCCAGGCCTACAAAAAGTGAGCCTGGTTGGACCTCTGATTTGTAGTGAGCGTCATCTATACATGGATATATGTAATAGATAAAATGTGTACACCAATGATTTTTTGCCTCTTCTGTGTTTCTATCGATTGGCGGCAGAAAGATCAGAAGGAAAGATGTCGACAAAAAGTGAAAAGGATAATATGGGAAGGGTGTGGGTGTGGGGTGTGGGTGTGAGTGCGTGTGGGTGTGGATGTATCCGCACCCACACCCACACCATCTTGTTATCGTCTTTTCGAAGATGTTGACTATGGAGGTACTGGTCATACATACATAAATGTATGTTTGCCTAACTATTGCCGGCTTTATCCACTGTACGAGCCAGCAGATTACGGAGGGTATCCCTGGTCACGGGTGCGCAAAATTTTGCAGCTGCTTCGTTTTGGTGAGCTAAGTGTTCAAAATGGCCAATTTATTTTCTCGTTTAAAAAAAGCACTAACATTTTCTTTTTCACATTGTCAATGTTTCTTTTCACAAGTGCAATATGTGGATGATTTGAAGGCAGTGATTTTTTCCAGATTTCTTGGGCTTTTTCGTAGTATTGAAGTGCTTTCGAGTACTTGCCCATCTTTCTATACGCTATACCGATGTTGTTGTAAGAAGCAGCCAAGTTGGGATGATTCGAAGGCAGAGCTATTTTTTGGATTTCAAGTGCTCGTTCGTACAAGGAAAGTGCTTTCGAGTACTCGCCCATGTTATAATGCACCATACCGATGTTGTTGTAAGAAGCAGCCAAGTCGGGATGATTCGAAGGGAGGGCTATTTTTTGGATTTCAAGTGATCGCTCATACAATGAAAGTGCTTTCGAGTATTCGCCCATGTTACCATACGCCACACCGATGTTGTTGTAGGAATAAGCCAAATAGGGATGATTCGGAGGGAGAGCTATTTTTTGGATTTCAAATGCTCGTTCGTACGAGGAAAGTGCTTTCGAGTACTCGCCCATGTTTTTATACACCAAACCGATGCTGTTGTAGGAAGCAGCCAACTCGGGATGATTCGGAGGGAGAGCTATTTTTCGGATTTCAATTGATCGTTCATACGATGAAAGTGCTTTCGAGTACTCGCCCATTTCATCATACACCCCTCCGATGTTGTTGTAGGAAGCAGCCAAATCGGGATGATTCGGAGGAAAAGCTATTTTTCGGATTTCAAGTGATCGTTCATACAACGAAAGTGCTTTCGAGTACTCGCCCATTTTATCATACACCATACCGATGTTGTTATAGGAAGCAGCCAACTCGGGATGATTCTGAGGAACAGCTATTTTTTTGATTTCAAGTGATCGTTCGTCCGATAAAAGTGCTTTCGAGTACTCGCCCATACTGTAATATACCGAGCCGATGTTGTTGTAGGCAGCAGCCAAGTCGGGGTGATTCGGAGGGAGAGCTATTTTTTGGATTTCAAGCGATTGTTCATACGATGAAAGTGCTTTCGGGTACTCGCCCATGTTATTATACACATTACCGATGTTGTTGTAGGAAGAAGCCAACTCGGGATGATTCGGAGGGAGAGCTATTTTTCGGATTTCAAGTGATCGTTCATACAACGAAAGTGCTTTCGAGTACTCGCCCATGTTTCTATACACTCCTCCGATGTTGTTGTAGGAAGCAGCCAAATCGGGATGATTCGGAGGAAGAGCTATTTTTCGGATTTCAAGTGATCGTTCGTACGAGGAAAGTGCTTTCGAGTACTCGCCCATTTCATCATATACCGAACTGATGTTGTTGTAGGAAGAAGCCAAGGCGGGATGATTTGGAGGGAGAGCTATTTTTTGGATTTCAAGTGATCGTTCATACGATGAAAGTGCTTTGGAGTATTCGCCCATTTTATCATACACCATACCGATGTTGTTGTAGGAATAAGCCAACTCGGGATGATTCGGAGGGAGGGCTATTTTTCGGATTTCAAGTGATCGTTCATACGATGATAGTGCTTTCGGGTACTCGCACATGTTATTATACACATTACCGATGTTGTTGTAGGAAGAAGCCAACTCGGAATGATTCGGAGGGAGAGCTATTTTTCGGATTTCAAGTGATCGTTCATACGATGAAAGTGCTTTCGAGTACTCGCCCATGTTATCATACACCGAACCGAGTTGATTGTTGTATTTTGATCTCTCTTTATCAGAAGATGTCTTTTCGAGGAGGATCTGATAGAGTCGTTCTGCTTTCGGAAACTCACCCAGTTGAATTAGTATATTACCAAGTCGAGACCATCCTGTTGTCGAACCAAGCTCTTGGCGTATATGGGTTGTAAGTGTGTTTAATTCATGGTTGTCATTACTCACAAGAGTAAGCTTGACTTCCCATCGTTGATCAGTATTGTCCTCGTCTATTGGTTTAATTCCATCGATGCGAAATACAGTGTGCGTTGTAAAAAGAATTTCTTCTTCTTGATCTTCGAAGAAGCCAACATTTTTGACACCGACAAAAGGACTTGAAGATGTTGCGCACAGTGTTGGATCGATGGTCATTTCAAAGAGTATGCCAACGGAATCAGGATCTGCGGGTCTTGCAAAAAGTTCAAGGGAAACATTCTGATTGCGACTTGTTGAAAGAAAATTGTTGAAAGACATGAGCCCGCCTTTGATTTTTTTCATTTTTTCAAAGTTTTCGAGAGATAAACTTTGACCTCGAAAAACTTGAAATGGAGTATTTGTCGTCGTGTTGATGGATTCTTGTTCACGGTGTAAGTTTTCAATATATTGATGTAGATGGCGAATAAAAAAGCCCATTTTAAGTATAATGTCGATATCCATTTGTCGAAGAGCATGATTGAGCATCGAGTACATAAAAAATGGACCTGTATACCACCAAATCGGTGTATGAAGACGATATTCTTTTTCGATCTTGTCAATATGATTTGCATTAATACCACCTTGAAGACGGCAGTAGTCAACGAATTCTTTAATAGATTTATCGTCGTCATCATCCATTTCCAAAAATGTTTCTTTAAGTAATTGTGTGTACATAAACAATGGATCAATACCATTAAAACTGATCGAGATCATAGCTCGATCACAATTTTCACCATCAATTCGTAATGCATCACAAATTGGTTCAATTTGTGTGTATACACCTTTTATGTTAGGTATTGTTTTAATCCATTCCTCCTGAATCAATTGATCGTTACATAAAACATAAATGTAGATTAATTGTGGGCACTCTTGAATTTCTGGTATTATATGTTGTCCTAGCACATCCGACACAATCATGAATACTTTTTCATCGTGAATGTCAGTGAGAAAGTCAATACACTCGTCAACATCTGTAAATGTGATGACTATTTCTACAATATTTTGTAAATGTTGTATTGATCTTTTATAATCGTTCTTGAATTTATCTTGATTAGCATCAAGCCATACTAGCAGGAAATTTTGAAGCATCCGACGAATGGGTCGTGACTGTGTAGTATTTCTGCTTACTACTGTTGTTGTTCCTGCTGATGATGATGATAACTTATTCGGCTTACTTGTTGTAGATGATGAGCCACTAGCCGTTGGTTTAGAGTTTTTCTTGTCCATCTTAATGATAATGGCGATGATTATGATGACTTTTTCAATTTACGTAAATGGATGAAAGCGTGGAAACTGGTTGCATACTGCCCATGTAAAAAAATAAGGTGGATAATCAAATTAAAATCGATTAGAAACTGATTAAAAATCAATTATAATCATACACCTTTAATCGATTATTAATCAATTATGAATCGATTGTAATCAAAAATAATCAAAAAAAAAAGTTTTCATCGATTATTCCTATTATTTTTGATTATAATCGATTCATAATTGATTAATAATCGATTAAAGGTGTATGATTATAATTGATTTTTAATCAGTTTCTAATCGATTTTAATCTGATTATTTCTCTTATTTTTTTCACATGGATGTAAGAATCAACAAAACAAAAATATTTCGTCTCTGTCTCTAGATATATTTCGACTTTTTCTTCCTTTTTATGTTGGCAATTTGTTTTTGCTTGACTGGTTGTTATCAACTTCAAGAATTTCTTACCTCGATTATTCATTCTTTTCTTTCAAAAGTGCTGCTGGCTAAATATAATAGGTGAAACCTGTGTACATACTTCAGATATAAGATAAGGAAGAATAAGAACGATACATACAAAGAAGAATTGCATTACAGTCATAGATACTAGAAATGAAAAAAAAAGAACTTCTAAGTAGGTTTAAACAGTTTTTTTTTGTTCTTTCCTACTGTTTTTCTTTTCGATCGCCTTGGACTTCATTACAAAGGGCGATCGATGACAGTGTCTTATAAGTCAATGATGGCTTCTACTGTCACCAACAGGATGTGGACGTGGGTGGGTATTTGTGCATAGAAGTAACTTTTGTCCGCAACCAAACCCACACCATCACTCATTAATTTGTAGCTAAAACTTTTCTTCAATTCATTAATTACTAATGAGCTACCAAAAAACATTTGACTTTAAAACTCCTATGCTATAATAAGATCTATAATTTTATTTTAGCTAAACAATTTCAAATAACTGTAAATGATTTTCGTCAATTATTAACTTATGATGAAGCTCTGCATCTTCTTGGTACATTTTCATATTTAACTATTTTAAGTGAATATGCTTAATTATTATTATCATTTTATATATCATTATTATTACAATGGATATATATTCTTAATATGGTTGATTATATACAAAAAGGATGATGCTCATCAACATTAACACTGTCATCATTAATAACACATTTATCAATTATTATTATTTTTTTATTTGAATAAAGTGATACATGTGCATATGTACATAATTTGATTCTATAGATCGTGCATTAGTTGCAAGTCATTTATTTGTTGAATCGATATATACTAATTGGGATAATTTATTGAAATGAAATAAATTATTACTATCATTAAAAATTCTTCGTACACACTTGAAAGATTACATGTCGATAAAAGTGATGTTTTATTAGTTTTATTGATTGAACAATTTCTTACATTACCATGTATATCTGTATTACGTTTAGCTGAATTATTTATTTGTCGTCATATTGAAATGATCTTAACACTTGATAAACAATCATTAAATAAACAATTATTACCTAAATATTTATCATTAATTTTACAAATATTATCAACAACGAAAAACAAATAATATACACTAAAAATTTCTACACAAATGCTTAAAAATATAACTTATAGAAGTTTATTATCATTCATGATGTCAATGATACGTTTTAGATTTAATATATCGAAATAAATATAATGAATATTTTAATCTAATTAAAGGAAAAAGTTTGCTTTTCTTTGACATGGTTTAGGTAATAGTAATAGATAAGACTTTTGAATAATTTGAAATTTTAAACAATATTTTGAAGTATAAAACTAGTCGGTCTACTGTACTTACGTATAGAAGGACGAGTTTTAATGACATACATAACAAACAAAAAAAAATACAGAATCTCAGGTAATACGAAGCCTAAAGGAACTCATTTTAGTTACATTAGTACAATGATCGAATTATTCGTCTCGAATCTCATTAGTCAAATTCTGAGTCGCGCCGTTTGTTTTTCCAATAGTCTCTGTAGCAGAAAAACGTCAAAATTAATTCAAGACTGTCATAGTTTTATCATACATTCATTAGATAATGACACCGCTATCCACTCTCATCCTAGGATTTTGTATGATTATCAATATCTCATTATCTTATCCGTGATATTCATATTCCATCATTATGACGTACATCAACTGAAGCATACAACATTATGTTGAATTAACATGCCAATTTTCAATAGGTGATATACATGATTTATTACGGTTTATTATTTTTATATCGAAAATAATTTATATAAATATATTTCAAAAAAACATTTCTTAGTTGGAATCAAATTGAAAGGATTTTTTTGTTGTTTGACAAAAACCATATATAATTCGGCATCAATTATATATAAATTACTTGGCAGAACAGATAAAATAATATCATGTTGTAGATTATCAAAAACTATATTATTAATGTTTAAATATCTTCGTCAATGACATGGTGTTATTATAACAAATAAACAAATAAATCAATTATTACTTTTATTATTTAATGATCTTGACCGTATTTGTTATTTAACAAGAAAAAGATTAAATATAAACCATATTTTTATCGATATGGTTTACGTCGTATAGTTAAATTATTATTTTGTTTACTAATATTTAATTTATTTGTATGTATATGAAGACAACTTTGAAGTTGGTTGATTATCAAGAATACAATTTCAAGAACTAAAAGTTTCATTTTTATCTTCAATTAATTCACTAAACCAATCTAATTCATGAAAAGATACAACGACAAATAATTTAACAAAAGAAGAAATTTTAGACATATTGATAGCCAATATATGCAAACACGTTTAACATTATATACAAATTCAAATAATTTATTTAAAAATTTTGAATAATTAAGCACACGTAATTTATTATCCTATAGACAAATTTCATATGATATTATATTAATATCTGTTCAAAGTAATTATACATTTTCACTACCAGTTAATGTAAGTTTATATGTGTTTTAATAATTGAGCAGTAGAACTTGTGTTTTTTGTGAATATTGAATATTCAACGTATGTGTAAAAAAACAAAGGATGATCGAAACAATTTTAAACTTTCTTACAGAGAAGTCTACATTAAAGGAAAAAAAATCTAGTATTTTTCTGACTTTGATCTATTTAAAATATAATACATGCAAACTACCCTATTTCATATAGATAAAAGATTATATCAATAATTTCAAATACATTCTAAATACTTTTTGGTATTCTATTAATAAAGTCTAAAATATGAGAAATATTTTATATCAATTAGCAAATTAGACTAGTTCTTACCCTGTATTTGGAAAAAAATATATCTTTCTGATTTATTTATATCATCAAAACAATTATCAAATTTATATGATTTATGTCATGAGTATTTTCGTACATTTGATGACATCATTAATAAATTATGATTTACCCTAGTGAATGTACTGAGTTAAGGGCACCCGAAAAAATACCCTGCTACTAGTATGTTCCAGGATCTGTTAGGTACTTAAGTACCTTATCGGGTACCCTGCTGGAAAGTGTCTAGTAAATGGGTACTTGAAGGTACTGATCAAATACTCACCTGGATACTATTGCACAGTATTTTTAGGTACCTGTTGCCAAAATTGCAGTATGTTGATGATCGAACCTAACCTGTAACTTTTTTCATTTTTATTTCTTCCAAAGAAATTGATGACATTTTTTCAATTTTATTTAATTTAATTTTTCCAATTCTGAAAAGTCAAGCAGGTCGAATTTCGGAATCTGACCGGACCTGAGTTGGTCGAATCTCCATCAGACCACTTCAGGATAGTTCTTTCTCAATTTACGATCGAGATCGGCATGTTATCAACTAGTAAATAGTCAAGAAATAATCTAGAAAAAATTAGTATGAAAAAATATTAATTTCTTATGTTTTGTCGAGTTGTTTATATGAAGCCATGTGTGCAAAAGAAAACAGTGAATGAACAGTTGCTACACAGAACGCGACATATCTAGGATACTCTGTAGAGCTTTCCTCAGTAAAATTACAGGTGCGGGCATCCATACAAGCACTTTTTCAGTAAACATACTGTTATGGATATCAAGTGCAGTACCTACATCAGTATAATTACTGAGATTTTTCAAAGTACCCATATTGGATACCTTGCTGAAGCTTTCTCAGTACATGGGTACCTTTGGCTCAGCACATTCACTAGGGTTAGATGCAGTTTTTTACACTGATTACGAATTTGATACTGATTTAGCATAAAAATCAGATTTTAATATGAAAAATCGGATTTTAAAGTTTTCAAAAACTGTATTTTGGATTTTTTAACCAAGAAATTTTTTCAACAAGGGCTAAGAGACATACCATTCGATGCAGAATTAAATTCTCTACAAAATGGTCTATTTAGTTTTGACTTTGGTAGCTTCGAACAGATTGAAAGCTTCGATAAAGTTTCCAACTTCCTGCCCTGTTTATAAGCTCTCAGATCGATGTATCAATCTCATTTTTGCAGAGGAGACTGTCTACATATAAAAACAGTAACAATTATAAAAATCAAGTAATTCCGAGTACATTAAGTGTCTCAAAATCGGTCAACAAAAAACTGTGTAACAGCGTTACATTTGGACAAGCCGAAATACACAATCCTAGTTTTAGAGAAAGAAAAAAAAATCAAGTGATACAATTGGGTAAATCAAACGAATGTTTACATTCAAGCTAGTCTACTCTTCATGTGAAAGAATAATTATTTGTTCTCAGAACTATTCGAAGGGTAAGGTATAATAACATTCATTTATATGTAAAATATTTAGAGTGAAGTATGTGACTTTTATCAGAACTTCTTTAATTTATTCATTTATTTAATATGAAAAAAAAGTATAGACTTGTATATTAAATATTTTGATTATTTTTCAAATAGTCTCTAACTTTCATTAAAGTTATTCCTAATCTGTTTTTTCCGGATCCATCTCCTCCATCTCCCCAATAAGAATCCTCTATTGAATGTTCCACTATTGGAAGATCCTCAGTTGATAATAATAATTGTTTAAGTTTCGGATGCTGTTCAAATTTCGCTAAACACGCCTTAAACATTACATCCTCTTTGACACTTTCCCAGTCAGATCGCATTGCAGATCTATAATTTCGCACATAATCATATGCTTCGTCAGGAGTAGCTAATTTTAAGATATTTTTTTATAATGTGTTTCATCTTCAACATATTTTTGTGCTTGAAAATAATGTTCAGTAGTTGGCCACCTGTATCCATCTAATTCAATTGGAGAAGGATAAAAATTATTGAATTCACCAAAGGGTTTATCACACTCATAGAAGTTAACTGGAGAGGGTGTGGGTGTGGGTGTGTGGGTGTGGAGTGTGGGTGGATGTGGGTGTGGGTGTGGGTGGTGTGGGTGTGGGTGTGGGTGGGTGTGGGTGTGGGTGTGGGTGGGTGTGGGGTGTGAATGTGGGTGTGGGGTGTGGGTGTGGGTGTCGGTGTGTGGGTGTGGGTGTGAGTGTATTTACAGAGAAGGCCCACACCCATACCTACACCCACCCATACCTACACCCACCCACACCCACACCTAGGGGTGGGAAGTTACCGTTACCCGGGAGTTACGTTACCGGGTAACTAGTAACTTTTGAGTTACTAGTTACCGAGTAACTAGTAACGCCGGAGTTACCAGTTACCAGGTAACTAGTAACTTCGAAGTTACTAGTTACTTTTGGTAGGTAACTTGTCTAAAAAGTCGAGATATCGCTTCCTAATGACTGAATATCATCTATTCATCACTCAATTAGATTACGAGTTACTTGGTAACTAGTAACTCCTATGTGCGTTACTAGTTACTCGGTAACTCGGTAACTCGTGAGCTGAATAAGTACTGTAATGATGGTATTCACTCATTAGGAGGCGATATCTCCACTTCTTAGACAAGTTACCTACCAAAAGTAACTAGTAACTCCGAAGTTACTAGTTACCTGGTAACTGGTAACTCCGACGTTACTAGTTACTCGGTAACTAGTAACTTTCGAGCTACTAGTTACTTGGTAACGTAACGGTAACTTCCCACCCCTACCCACACCCACACACCCACACCCACACCCACACCCACACCCACACCCACACCCACACCCACACCCACCCACATCCACACCCACACACCCACACCCACACCCACACCCACA